CCTATTCCTGAATCCCCTTGGGTTGATATTTCTATGGATTTCATATTAGGTTTGCCTAGGAGTAGGTCTGGTAATGATTCAATATTTGTTGTGGTTGATCGATTTTAAAAAATGGCACATTTTATTCCATGCACAAAAACCATTGATGCTTCACATGTTGCTTCATTATTTTTCAAAGAGGTTCTTAGATTGCGTGGTGTTTTGCGATCCATTGTTTCTGATAGGGATTCTCGATTTTTAGGCTATTTTTGGATAACTTTTTGGGCTAAATTAGGTACAAAATTAATATTTTCCACATCACACCACCCACAAACTGATGGTCAAACTGAAGTTGTTAATCAAACTGTGGGCAGCTTGTTACGTGCCTTAGTTAATGAGAATTCAAAGAGTAGGGAAGAATGTTTAGCTCATGCTGAATTTGCATATAACCGTACGATTCATAGCTCTGCTAATTGTTCTCAATTTGAGGTTGTTTACGGTTTTAACCTATTAACTCCTTTGGATCTTATGCCATTGCCACGCAATGAGCATGTTAGTTTTGATGGCATAAAAAGTGCTAAGTTTGTCTAACAACTTCATTCTCAAGTTCAGGATAACCTACGAGAGGCAACTGACAATTATGCGAAAAAATTTGTCACGCTGAAATGGCGGACAGAGCGCAAGGAGATTGAAAGGAAATAAAGAAAAAAAAGATAGGTAATTGGGTGTTTTTCTTCTTATTTCCTTTTTTTCAAGTACAATATATTATTTATACTGCAATTACAGACTAAGAAGCGTAATTACATGACTCACACTTTTATTAATATGACAGACTTCTTTCTCTTTCATGACAATACCTCCCCCTTAAACGCAGTTTGTCCTCAAGTCGCAAAACTAGGGAAGCGTGAGCTGAAGTCTTTGAAAAATTCACAAGTAGCTTCTTCTTCAGGAAGATGTGCCCATTGATCTAATAGTTGGGTTGCCGGTAAGGATCCTCACCTGACCAAATGGCAGGCCAAAATTTTGATTGGTTGCAACAAAATCCTCCCATCATCATCAAACGTAGGCAAGGAAGCAGTGACAATAGACAGAGGGCCAACATGTTTCTTCAGAAGGGAGACATGGGAAACTGGATGAATGCGAGCAGAGGTGGGTAACTCCAAGTGATAGGCAACATAACCAACACGAGCCAAAATCTTGAATGGGCCAGCATATTTGGGGCTCAACTTCCAAACATCTCTGGAGTGAAGTGAAAGCTGGCGATATGGCTTCAACTTAAGGTAAACCAACTCTCATTCTTTAAATTCCCGTTCACTACAATGAGAATCTGCATAATATTTCATATGATATTGTGCTGCCAATAGGGCTTGCTTGAGTAGATGCTGAGCTTGTTAACGATTGGCTACCAACTCATGAACCCCTTCCACATTGGTAGAAGGTATAGGGCCAAAGAGCCATAGTGTAGGATGAAAACCATATAATGCCTGAAATGGAGTGGTGCCCAATGAAGTGTGATATGAAGTATTGTACCACAATTCCGCCATAGGAAGCCAATTGGACCAATGCTTAGGATTAGAACTACACATGCACCTGAAGTAGGACTTTAAGCACTTATTTACTCTCTCAGTCTGTCCATCACTCTGTGGATGGTAATGCAGTGCTTAGCCTCTGCTCAATCCCCAACACCTTAAACAATTGTTGCCAAAATTGACTAGTAAATACCTTGTCTCTATCAGAAATCACATTGTGGGGCAAACCATGCAACTTATAGATGGACTGTAAGAATACTTGGGCAAGACTTGAAGCTGTAAATGGGTGAGCAATGGCAACAAAGTGAGCATATTTGGTGAATCTGTCAAAACTCACCCAGAGAGTGTCTTTGTTGGGTGATCTAGGTAATTGCTCAACAAAATCCATGGAAATATGAGTCCAAGCCTGTTCTGAAACTGGTAGGGGTTGTAACAAACTGGGATTTTGTACATTTTTATGCTTACACATTTGGCACACCTGGCAAGAGGCAACAAACGTCTGTACATGCTGCCTTATCCCTGTCCACCAGAACACACTACATACCCTCTGAAATGTAGCATTAATCCCTGAATGACCACCCATACTGGAGTTGTGGAATTGGTGCAGAATATGATTCCTTAGATTCCCAGAACACCCTACTACCAACTTGCCTTTGTGCCTCAATAACCCATCATGATAGTTGTAGAGAGACATATTATAAGACAAGGTGACCAACTCAACTATTATGTCCTGGAGGAATAAATCAGTACTATAACTACTGATAATCTCACCCATTCACATTGGCTTAAAGACAATAATAGTTGAACACTCTCCCTTCACCAATTCCTCTTCATTTGAAATATGAACTCTAGACAACATATCAGCCATTTTATTTTCAATTCCTCTTTTGTGCTCGATAGTGTAATCAAACCCCATAAGTTTAGTCAAATACTTATCTGTAGTGGTGTTGAGATTTTCTGTTCTAGCAAGTATCTCAGGCTTTTCTGGTCTAATCTAATATTGAATAGAGCATGAAGCAAATAAGACCTCCACTTCTCCACAACCAATATGATGGCCAAGAATTCCTTCTAATATATTGATAATCCCAAATTCTTACGACCTAAGGCTTTGCTTAAGAAAACCAAAGGATGCTGGTCTTGCATAAGAACAGCCCCTAAACCCTTGTAAGATGCATCGGCCTCCACAACAAAAGGCCTGGTGAAATCAGGTAAGGCTAAAACTGAAGCTGTAACCATTGCATTTTTTAGCCGATGGAAGGCAGCTTCAGTCTCTGAAGACCACACGAACTTTCCCTTTCTTGTTAGATCGGTTAAGGCCCTAGCAATCACTCCATAATGTTGAATAAACTTCCTGTAGTATCCAGTGAGGCCTAAGAATCCTCTTAATGCCTTAACATTAGATGGAGTTGGCCAATCTAACATTGCTTGGATCTTGGACTTATCCGTCTGTACTCTCCCACCTCCTATTACGTGCCCTAAGTACTCAACCTCCACATTGCCAAAGTTGCACTTCGATTTTTTAGCAAACAAGGTGTGCTAGGACAGAATATTAAACACTTCTCTTAAGTGTTTCAAATGTTCGGTCATGTTTGAGCTGTAAACTATGTCATCAAAGAAAACCAGGATGAAATCTCTCAAATGAGACTTAAAAATCAGATTCATGGCTTCTTGAAAGGTGGCTGGTGCATTTCTGAGGCCAAAGGGCATCACAATGAACTCATACAATCACGAGGTAGTTACAAATGCTTTTTTAGGTATATCCTCTTCGTGCATTCTGATTTGATGATAGCCAGCCCTTAAATCTACTTTTGAAAATATAGTTGCTCCACCTAGCTCATCCAATAAATCCTCCACCAAGGGGATAGGAAAGCTATCTTTTATTGTAGCTGCATTGAGCTTTTGGTAATCAATACAAAACCTCCATGAGCAATCCTTCTTTTTAACTAGTAGCACAGATGAGGAGTATGGGCTGCTACTAGGTCGAATAATCCCTGTTTGCAACATCTCATTCACCAATTTCTCAATTTTTCTCATTTAAAGCATAGAATACCTATAAGCATGTTGTTTAATAGGTCCTATATTGGGCTTGGTGGGGATTCTATAATCCATGTTCCTCTTAGGGGGTAAACCAGTGGGGACTTCGAACAGGTGCTGAAACTCCTAAAGTAATGACTAAATTTCTGGATGACAAGCAGATGTCTTCTCTTTTGTTTGTCTAAATATAATGCATAAGAAGCCCCCAGTGCCTTCCCTTTCCAGCTCTTTACTAAATTGAGTCATAGTTTACATACTTAGCAAGTTTACCCCAATAACCATGTCGCAACCCCCTAACTTCAACAATCTCACAGGGGCGCTAAACTTGTGACCCCCCATTTCCCAAGCAAACATAGGGCATTTAGATTTGCATTCAACTTTATTGCCATCAGCAATGGTTATTAACCAAGGATCAATAAACTCCATTGTACACCCCAACTTTGAAGCTGTTTTTTGGTCCAAAAAGGTGTGAGTGTTGCCTGAGTCCAGCAAGATGACTAAGTCACAATTATTAGACTTTCCTAACAACTTAATGGTGTTAGAAGGAACTTGACCAGCCACAACATTCAAAGAGATTTGGGGTTCCTCCAACCCTTGCTGGCCTTCTCCCAACTCAAAAGTCCCACTGTCATCCTCCCCACTTTCTTCTCCCAACTCAAAAGTCCCACTGTCATCCTCCCCACTTTCTTCTCCCATGATCAAGTATACTCTTTTGCACTTGTGTCCTATATGGAACACCTCATCACAATTGAAGCACAAATTCTTCTCTCTTCTAGCCTTCATTTCTTCAGGAGACAACCTTCTAATAGGACGTAACCTTGGCTTAGCAACATCGGAACCATTCTTAGTTGTTGGCACTGCTGGTTGAGGATTGCCACTTCTGTTCAGTCCTCTCTGTCCCTTAGTGAGGAGATTGACTATATCCTCACTTTGGATGGCCAATTGAATAGCATTTATCAAAGTAATAGGTTTCTACATAGTCACAAACTTTCCAATCTCTTCCTTCAATCCACCAATAAAACTTTTTACAAAATATTTTTCTTTCAAAGATTTATTATCCTCTCTTACTAAAACTCTCATTTCTTCAAACTCCTGAATATAATTCTACACAGTGGTATTTTGCCTCAATTTAATAAACTGAGCAACTAAACTCCTTCAAGCCGGATTTAGAAACCTTTCCAATACTAATCCAGAGAATTCAGGCCATGACAGATAAATGTTTTCCTCAATATAGTCCACAAATCAACTATCAGATGCTCCTTCTAAATTCATAGCAACGAGGCTGAGTTTATCATAATCGGACACTGGATTATAAGCAAAATACCTAGTGCATTTTCTAAGCCAGAGCCTAGGATTATCTCCATTAAATTTTGGAAACTTCGATCGCAATTTATTATTGTGTAAAGCATGGTTCAACTCGTTCAACCTAGTCATAGAAATAGAAGACAATATTTCCCTTCATTCCCTAGGCTTAGTAGCATAGTCAAAAGCTATATGTGCAGAAGAAGGATCCAAAGGTTCTTTACCTCTGGTTGAAGGTCCAGCTTGTTTTTCCTTTATGAAATTCACAAATTGAGTCTTCAGCATGTCTCCTAGACTCTTCAGCTTCGCATTTTTCTTAGATTCAAGTCTAGATTCCATTTGAATTTGGCCGTGGACTATAGCAGGTTTCCTGTCCATAACTTCTATCACTTGTTGTTCTAGAGTATCCAACCGTTGTGATTGAGATCATGTCATCATAGGAGCATCAAAAGAGCAGCGAAGAATACCTGCTCCGATACCAAATTGTCACGCCTTTAGTAATGTGGACAGAGCGCAAGGAGATTAAGAGGAAAAAAAATAAAAAAAAGACAGGTAATTAGGTGTTTTTCTTCTTATTCCCTTCCTTTCAAGTAAAATATGCTATTTATACTGCAATTACAGTCTAAGAACGTAATTACATGACTCAGGCTTTTATTAATATGACACGCTTCTTTCTCTTTCATGACACAAGATAACTATGGGTGCAAGAAAGTTGTATTCGAGATGAGGGATTGGGTTTGGCTACGCTTACGGAATGAAAGATTTCCAGAGTTTTGAAAGCCAAAACTTACTCCATGTGGTGATGAGTCATTTCGAGTATTGGAATGCATTCATGATAATGCCTACAAACTTGAACTCCCAGGTGAGTACCAAGTTCATGATACTTTTAATGTTTATGACTTAAGCCTTTTTTATGTAGTAGATGAATATCTTGTTCGGGAGACAAGAAAGCTTTTCAAGAAGAAGGGACTGACGAGGACGTCCAATCTTCAAGGATTCAAATGCCCGTGGGACCTATCACTCGAAGCCGAGCTCATCAGTTTTAAGAATCCGTCATTGCGTTGACCCAACGATTTTTCATGGAGAATCAATTTAAGGATGATGCTTGGAGACCACTTAACCCTCACCTGACACTCTTTCAAGGGGACCCACAAGAATTAGAATTGAAAGATCAAGAGAATCACTAATTATGAAAGATTATCAACAAAATTACAAATTATGGAAGATCATCAAGAGAATCGTCACTTATGGAGGCTTCTAGAAGTTACCTTAATTTTTAATTTCTTTTATTATAAGTTTCCATATAGTATAATTTTATATCTAGAACTTACCTTATTATTTATTTCCTTATAGTTAGACTTACCTTTTGGTTTGTTTTCTTTATTATTTGTTGCCTTTTATTTTCCGCAAGGACCTCTATATAATGTCCTTGCCTATCATTGTAATGAGAACTTTTTACATCTTGAATCAAATTTCACTTTTATAATTTTCTAATGTTAGGGAGTGATTTCCTCGCATTTAGAGTCTCAAATCAGGTATATGGAGTGATTCCATCAGTTCGTGACTTCCAATCCTTTGCAGTGAGATTTTGTGTTTTAGCCTATGGATTGATTTCAGGCTCGAGACTTATTCTCATGGTTGGTTATCATCCATAGTAATTCACATTCTTTGCATTATCTTTTCTTCTCCCTTCTCTTTTCTTTTATCCATATTCTTAATCCATTAGTTCTATTAAACTTTATAGGTAAGAAAAATACATTGGGTTTATACACAGTCGGGGCGTGTCACTTCTCTACATCAACTTTCATTTTTGGCCAAAAGAAGTGTTCTTTTAACAAGTTTAAAGTGTTTGAAATTCCAAAATGACCTATTAATCCTCCTAAATGTGCCTCAGAAATCAATAAATGCCTTAGTGAACATAGAATGCACAACTGATTTTCACACATTAGGTACCCATTATGCAAATTATACTTATCGTAATAAGCATGCTTAAGACACCTAGCAAAAATTTCAGAAAAATCAAAATAATTTGCATATAAATCTTTCAATTCGGATAATCTAAACAATTTAGATTCAAGGGTAGCAACAAGAGTGTACCTTCGGGAGAGTGCACTGGCTACCATATTATCTTTACCTTTCTTGTATTTGATAATATACGGGAAGGTATCGATGAAAGAGATCCACCGGATGTATCTTGGACTCAACTTTTTTTGGGATTTGATGTGCTTCAAGGACTCATGGTCGGTATGGACAACAAACTCACGTGGGCACAAGTAATGTTGCCATGTTTGGAGAGCACGGACAAAGGAATAGAGTTCATTTTCGTATGTGGAGTAGTTGAAAGCTGCACCATGTAACTTGTCACTGAAGTAGGCCACAGATCTTTTATCTTGAGTTAGAATAGCTTCAACCCCTAAACAAGAAGCATCACATTCAACCTCAAAAGATTTTGAAAAATTGGGTAAAACAAAGATAGGTGCTTGTGTGAGATTTTGTTTCATTGTATCAAAAACATCTTGTTGAATACTTCCCCATTCAAACTTATCATCCTTTTCCGTAATGGCAGTTAGTGTGGTGGCAATGGTGCTGAAGTTTCGCACAAATCTTTGGTAGAAGCTTGCAAGGCCATGGAAGCTCCGAACATCCTTCACCTTCGTCGGTGTAGGCCATTCTTGAATTGCCTTCACTTTGCTTTCATCCACACTAATCTCATCTTTTCCTACAATAAAACCAAGGAAATTGCACTTGTCGACATAAAAGTCGCACTTCTCGTGGTTAGCAAACAACTTCTCCTTTCGAAGAACATCAAGTACATCATTAACATGTTTTGTGTGTGCATTAATAGATTGACTACAAATGAGTATATCATCAAAATACACAAAAACAAATTTGTTAATGAAATTCCTCAAAATATGGTTCAGCAACCTCATAAAAGTGCTCAGGGGATTTGTGAGTCCAAATGGCATAACAAGCCCCACTCATATAAACAAAAAGTTTTTCTGAAGGCTGTTTTCATTCATCACCTTGATTCATACGAATTTGGTGATACTCACTTTTCAAATCAATTTTGAAAAAGATCGCAGAATTGGGTGACAATATTTTACCGCAATTGCATTGACAACACGACAGTCAACGCACATCCTCCATCCCACAGCTTTCTTTAGCACCAAAAGTACGGGCACCGCATAAGGACTGGGACTCTCGCGAACCCATCCTTTGCTCAAGAACTCATCAACGTGCTTTTTGATTTCCTTTATCTCATCCGGATTGGCTCTATATGCTAGTTGATTTGGAAGAGAAGATTCCGGGATAAAGGAAATTTGCAATGCTAGAGGGAAGAACATTAGTGTCTTGATGAGACAAATATGAAGGCTTAGTCAATTAACAAACAATGTACTCCATTTTCCAGTTGATTGATCTTCTTCCTGTTAAAAAATAAGTTAGTCATCACACTCTCGTGTATAGAAGATCTGTCGGCATCTCCCTTACGCACGCCACTCATGTTTTTTGAATTTGAGTGTTTGCCTTTTGAAGAAGAGGGATTGGAAGATTTTTGAAAATAACACTGCTCAAAAATTTTATCTGGGTCAAGGGTGTTTGAAATGCACTTACTTTTCTTATCATCTTTTCCTACAAGGACTTTCTTGTCATTCTTTTGAGTTCTCTTCTCGCTTTGTTCCGCCGCATATTTTGTGTATAAATACTTTTGATCCTCGTTGACCTCTCTCGGACTCAATGGCTTTAAATTAATAGGTTTCCAAGATGGGAGAAAGTGTACCTATTACGATATCCATCATGAAGTACCTTCTTATCAAATTTCCAAGGCCGTCCTAGTAACACATGGCAAGCTTTCATCGGGGCTACGTCACACCTAACTTTGTCTTTGTACCCTTGAATATCAAACTCCAAATCCACTTGTTTGAGAACATTGATCTCGCCACAGTTGCTCAACCATTGTAAATTATACAGCTTCGGATGAACAAGGGTTTTCAAATCCAACTGCTTTACTGCAAGGTCACTCATAACATTAGTGCAACTACCTCCATCAATGATCAAGCTACTTACCTTTTCTCCCACTTTGCATCTCCCATGGAATAAGTTCTCCCGTTTGACATGGATGCAAAAAGATCAGGACTTGCTATTCCGCATATTCCAATCGGACCAGTCTTGAGAGCTCGAGCGAAAGCGTGCATTGAAAAATTGTAAGGCTTGATAAAGAAATTAAAGATTTGGAGCCTAACCGAAGGACTATGTTACAATATGTGAGGACTTAATGGAAAGCCTAGGGCAAGTGCAATGGTTGTAAAGGTTACATTGGAGCTTGCAACGCCTCAATCGGACAACTAATGGAAAATTTGTGCAAACCTAGGAGTTTGCGAAAATAGAGGGTTTAATAAGTAATTATACAAACCTAGGTTTGCACATGCTCAAGTTGGGGGACCATCCCTTGGGACTACTTATATATATATATATAATAAGCTCTCACATGCCTCTCACATGCATGGGGGGGACCATTAGCTAGGTGTCACTCATTGGTAGATACTTACAAAACTCATCCCACATTGAAAACATATGCACTTTCTCTTTCCCTCACTCCTATAAATAGGTCCCTTAATGTTCTTTGTAAGACACACCAAGAAAATATATTTTAATAAATATTTGATCATTTATGATCATTTCATTTCATGGAAAGTTATACTTTATAGAAATACTTTCTCTTTCAATATAATATTTATGGAATGCAATTCCATTGCATGCTCTATGGGGTTTAATTCTGAAATTTGGGTTTGAATAGAAAGCCTCAAGTTCATGGCATTTGGGGAAGGTGGAAGATCTCTCCAAAGTGTCGACCAAGGTGGTTCCTTCTTAGAGGATAGTTCGATGCTAGAAGGGTATCAGGTCGTGCCTATGTTAGTACTTAGGTTTGCTTCTCTTTCGATTATCCTTTTTCCTTGTTTTATTCATTCCGTTTAGTTAATTTGTCCTTTTCTTGTTTAATAAGTTCCGTTTAGTTGTTTGTTCTTTCTTGTTGTTTATTAGTTAGTTCTGTTTAGTTAGATTATTCCGTGTCTTATGTTGTTGATCAATTTTTGTCATTGAGATATATTATTCAAAAAATTCTAAAAACAAAAATTCCCTTGATATCTTCTCTTTTTAATTCATTCTTCTAGTTTCTTAGTTGAGATTTTTATTGCATATCCTTGGCGTAGATTTGATCTCGAGTTTTGTCTTTTCTTGGCCTTCTAGTGTACACCATGCACCATACATCCATATGCATTATATGAACTCAGGCTTGTGATTTTGTTGACAAGTGATTTTAATTATACACTTCATGCTCTTGTTTGACTTTTTTGAGTTTGTTCTTGTTTGAGTTTTGCAAGTTTGCTCTTGTTTGAGTTTTCCAATTTTGCGGGTTGTTGAGTTCATGTTGTTAAGAGTGAAGTTGAATTAATTTTTAGTTGGATGTTATCTGGGAAGTGTAAGGAGTTATTGTTAATGTATTTCTGCAGAAAAAAAAAAAAAATCGAGCGGGAGGACTAGAGCAATTTTTGTCGGTAATCTTGTTTGAGTTGTGGTTTCCTCATAGGAGCTCCGATTTTTGCGTGTGATATGTCATTGGAAAGCTAGTGAAGTAGAGAAAAGATTGTATAAATCAGTTTTTCTGTATTCACATTGACATCTGGTTATTCAGTTTTGGGGTTTCGATTTTGGCAAGATTTTGTGTTTCCCATATTCGTTTGACATATTTTATAAAGGTATGAGTCTTTGTGGTGATTTTTTGGTTGTTGAGATCTGAATCAGCATATTTTTTTTTGTTGACTTGCATAGTTCCATCATTTGTGTGTTGTGCAATTTTTGGTCATTAGTCCGTAAATGCACGAGCTTGGTATTGCATGATTGACACTATCTTGTACTTTCTTTGATTAAGTCGTGTTTAAAGTTTCTTGTCCACTTTAAATGCGTACGTCACTCAGGTTCAACCTTTACAACTCTGACGTAGAACCGAGAGGGTGGTTCACATTTTTATGCTCAGCCAAAATGGATATTCGATTAAAGGAAAATATCGATATATATTTGGGTTTTGAATTTTTGAGAAGGAAAAGGATTATAGATAAATGGACTTATAGAAAAACAACAAACACCTACTCGAAGACTAGATAGAGAATCGTAATATCGAAGTATCTTGCTTGCTTAGGAACCTAAGTAACTTGTCTTAGACCCACTAAGTCGAAACAGAAGACAACTCGAATGAATACGCTAAACCCCTACGAAGGTTGGAAGCAATGAACCTGTGGACTTAACCAATGACCCGATTTGATGGATAAAACAAAATGTAAGGAATCACTCACAGACACTTAGTTTAAGGAAAGAACTAATGTTGGGAACTCCACTCTTATTGATGTCATCTTGGGAATCCTCTCTCATTGATGTCACCTTGAAAATCCACCTTTATTTATGTTGTCTTGGAAATCCACCACCATTTATGTTTTGTTGAAAATTCAACAACATTTAATTCTTCTTGAAATTTCCACTAGTCACATACGAAATTCAAGTAGGCATTAAATAAATCATAGATTGAACTCCTCTAGTGGGACCAACAAAAATGCACCTTCCGAAAGTTTGCCTTGATCTTGACTCGGCTGGATTAAAATCAGCAAGGGCGAAAGAGGCCTCCATGCCTGTGTTTTGAATTTATTTTCTTCGTCCAATTTAGTTGCCAAGGCTGAAACATGATCTTAAAATTTCCGTGCTTTGCTCCGAGTTATTGGTCCTGGGTGTAGTTGAGGTATTTGCATTCCCTTGCTTGAGACGGCCTCGTCAGACTCCATGAAGGCACACTTACAGAGCTTGGGAACTCTTACCCATTTTCCGAGAGAGGTATACACGAGTGTGCAAAAGGGGGGTTATGAGGACTAACTTTCAATATATATATATTAGTTTGCTTTGGTGCATGTATGGTTTGGTTGGATGATATTTGGCTCCGATAAATAAGCAAAGATATGCCAGATATTAAAGACGAGTTAGGCGGAAAGATTGATAGCATGACATCTCGAGTGGATCAGCAAGGTCAAGAGATACATGACCGACAAAGTCAAGTAGATCATGTTCGAGATGACATAGATGATGTTTTGGATACTCGGATGAAGGCTTATGCGGAGGCCTTCACAAGGAAGGTTGATCAAAATATGGAAAAGAAACTCGATGAGGTTTTCGATAAGGTTGCTACTCTTGAAGAAAGGGGAAGTCATAGTGATGCTAGACCTAAAGAAATCTCCTTGGCAAGCAACCTATGGGCTCAACAAGTGTTCTACCAAATACGAGATCTATCCAAGTTGATGATTTTGGCGAAAGGCGTCATACTAGTCCAAGGCCTACATCTATCCAAGGATGATGAGAAAGACGGAGTGCTACCAAAGAGTTGATTGATGAATTTGACTTGGAAGAGGATATCTATAACCGAAGGAGCCGAGGTCGAGTTAATGAGGTTGATGACAACATGCAGTCCATCAAGTTCTCCATACCACCTTTCGTAGGATTGGCTGATCCTAATGAGTTTCTTGACTGGAAAAGCAAAGTGGAGATGATGTTTGCATGTCATAATTACTCGGAGCACAAGAAAATTCAGCTTGCTGTCGTGAAGTTTAAAGAGTATGCTCTTGTTTGGTGGGAGAAGGTACAAGCTAATATTGCAAGGTCTGGAATGCTTCCGATTGAGACATGGCCAGCCCTTACTGGAGCTATGCATGCACATTTTGTGCCCCCACAATATCGGATGGATCTCCTTCAGAAAATTCAGTTTTTAGTCCAAGTTAGAAAAACGATTGAGAAGTACTACAAGAAAATGGAGATGCTTATGATGCGGGCTCAGCTTGTGAAAGATGATGGAGTCATTATGTATCAAATTGTCAAAGGGCTGAGGCGTGATATTATGGTTCAAGTGGATATGTATCCTTACAATTCTACTTTGGAAATTGTCAAATTTGCTACCAAGATTAAATCCCATGGAAAGGTAGGAATGAGTGTGAGCTTTGGAAAGGCATCACCAAATTTCAACAAGTTTGGGGGTAATACGGGACCGTCAAAATCATGGCCCAAAGGAGATGATAAGCACACGACCAAGAAAGAGCCGCTTAAGGTGCTTAAGTGTGATGAACAAAGGAAAGTCAGCAAGAATGGTTCACCAAACAAAGCAAAAGATGTCACATGCTTTAAGTGCCAAAGGAAAGGTCATTACACCAATGCATGCCCTAATGTGCAAATTTTTGTCCTTTGTGACAATGGGGGCTATCTAATTTTTTCGGATAATGAGCGTGAAGATTGGGAACATGAGGTTGAGGCAAGTGAGGATGAAGCATTCCAAGAGGCCGAAGAGCAAGTTGAAGAAGATTTTTCCGGGAGTCTCTAGTGGTTTTGCGAATGCTTGGTACTATTTTCAAGTAGTCGGATAAATTTGTTGATCGGGTTAAAGAGAAATGGGAGAATTTGTTCCATTATCGGTGCAAGATTGGTGGGAAGTGAGCGTCGATGATCATTGATAATGGAAGTTACACCAATTTCGTAAGTTGGTATGTGATAGACAAGCTTGGACTCCAAACTATCAAACATCCGACTTCATACCATCTTCAATGGATGAACTATAGCGGAGATATGAAGATTACTAGGCAAGCCAAAGTTCCAATTTCAATCGGTCCCTACAAAGAGGATGTCCTTTGTGATGTTACGCTGATGACCGCATGCCATATGCTTCTTGGCCGACCATGACAATCCGATAAAGGAATTATTTATGATGGCAAGACTAACAAAGTTAGATTTTTTGACAAGGGCTACAAGGTAATGATTCATTTTTTTTCCATTGAAGAAGGTTTGAAAAGATCAAGAAATTTTGCGAAGGAAGATCCAAGAAGCTGAAATCCTTAAAAGAGCTAAAGGAAAAGAAGTATCCAAAGAGGAAAAGAGAGAGTCTACTGCTAAGAATTCCAACATCCTTGTTTCACTTACCGATTTTCAACGAGAAGTTGGTA